TTTTTTCTTTAATGCTTGACATCGACATGAGCTGATTTTTTTGGTTCAATTAATTAGTTTGGATTTTCGAATTAAGAGCGGGATGCTCGGATCCTTATTCGTTTTGAATAGTGTGCGTAATTTCAGAACTAGAGCGCGCAATTTAAAACCAACTTTTCAAACTGTGTAAAGGCCTGCAAACTAGCTGGATATTTTTTGTTCCTTCTTTCCCGATATCTTTGGCGCCTATTTTACCCAGTAGCGCACCTAGGATTTACCTTGGGGGTGGGGGTGGGGGGGGGGGTGCTCATAATTTTGGGGTTTTTGTTCATACAAAGTGGGTGTATTTTTGTGGGAGGGGGAAATATTTTGACGTTGGTGGCGCCACTTACACCCCTATTATAATACTCGAAAATGTGCCACATACATATCGGTCAATTCGTGGACCAAAAAAATGAACCCCCCCCCCAAAAAAAAAAAATTAAAAATTAACAACCTCTACGAGTGGGAGGGGTAACCCCCCCCCCCCCCCCTTGGGTGCGCCACTAATTTCATCCACCTCTGGCCAGTGGCACAGCGGTAGAGGGGTGTTGGCAGAGTGGCAAATTGCAAACTGCTAGCTACAGATTTTAAGAGCGAACCAGGCGGGGACGTGCGAAGAAAAATCGGGCCGGCTATACGTCGGCCGCTCGTAAAAAGCTTGTCTCATCAGTCGGCAGGGATGAAGAGCGCCACCTACTGCCAAAGAATGTCTATGAGTGTCCGCTTTCAACAGTGCCCCTATAGGTGCAATGAATTGCCATAGACTCCAATGATCAATTTCCCCACTTTAGAAATTCAAGAAAATAATCACAATTTGCTCACTATAAGGTGTTCGAGACATGCATTAAAACTAAAGCTTAGTTTGATCGTCTTTCTATTTTTCCTCAATTTTTTGGTGGTAATCTGAATGTAAGTTGGGAGAAATTTCCATCCGCCATGATCACCCATCGCCATTTTGAAAAACGGCGCCTACACTCCAATGCAAAATAGAGCGCTTTTAGAGCTCCAATTTCATGCGAATCGCACAGAAATACAAGCTCACGTTCCTGTGCACGGCTTCCATCCTCACTGTTTACGACCCCTCAAGTGCATGGCCCACAATATGCTCAAGTACTGAAGAATTTGAGAGAATGCAAATCGTGATTTGGCCGGCGTATGCTACTTCGGACCCATTTTACTGCCTCAACTTTTTAAACAGCCGCAGCTAGAATTTTGTCTTTTAACCCTTGCATTTTTTCCAATTTTGGCCAAAAAATCAAATTGCTTCAAACTTGCTGGAAAGATGCCTAAAGGATCCTACAACACATTTCAATTCGATTTCTGGACAGATGTGCTTTTTAAAATGAAATTTGGACGAAAATTTAGGGTGAAATCAGTCAAAAATTAGGATATTTTTTCTAAAAACCGATTATTTTTGCCGAATCTGCAAAATATTGGGTGTGTGAAGGTTGATTGAAGCTCCTCTTACCTCTTAAGGAATTTCTGCATCGTTTGGAGAAAAGTCATTTTTTGGGCCAAATTTCACCAAAAAAGTAAGGCTAACCCCTTGCATTTTTTCCAATTTTGGCCAAAAAATCAAATTGCTTCAAACTTGCTGAAAAGATGCCTAAAGGATCCTAGAACACATTTCAATTCGATTTCTGGACAGATGTGCTTTTCAAAATGAAATTTGGACGAAAATTTGGGGTGAAATCAGTCAGAAATGAGATTTGTTTTTCTCTAAAAATCCATGATTTTTGCCCAAATATGCAAAATATTGGGTGTTTAAAGGTTAATTGATTGTTACGAGCGAAGCGTTATTGTACGAAACATAAAATATGGACATCGTGAACAGGGACCCCCTAGTGTAATGTGGTGTACTGGTTAATGTTGTTTTCATCTACGTTTAAATGGTTTTTTTTGGGTTCTTTATAGAATTAAGGATGAGAACGTACTGTTCACATTTTTTTTGAGGAAACAAAATCCGTAAAAACAAATTATCGTTTTATTTCTAAAGACGTGATACTGTTGAAATAGTAGTGACGGAGTTGAAAATCTGTATATCTGCCCAAATTCAAATAGTAGAAGTCAGGCGCGGATCCAGAGGGAGCGAAACACCCCCCCCCCCCCCCCCCCCCCCCCCCCCCCACCGGTCAGACACACACGAAAAATAAATAATTTGTAATCAAATATAATAATGACACGGTCCGCCTGTCCTCAATAATCGGATATAAATATTTAAGGTGCCCGGACCCCCCCCCCCGCAAAAAAATCCTGGCTCCGCCCCTGAACGCACCCGATAGCTTAAAAAACTACAGAACAGAAGAAATCAACAGAAGTTATGTATGCTCTACAAGATGAAAAATGGGTTGGTCGACATTCCACTTCACAACTATGTTCAGCCTAATACCAGAGATACAAGGGGAAACAACCAAAGGTTCATTCAAGTCAGTCACAAAGCTAGGGCCTTCAAAGACTCATTCTTCGTATCAACTGTTAAACACTGGAACTCACCCTCCTCGGCTGCTGTGAACAGCGCAACTCTAGCTGAATTCAAGGGACATATCAGTAATATCCACCAGTAGTCTATTTCCACACGCAGTGCGCAAGTTAGCGTTGATGTATCCGGCAAGGATATTTTGCTGACTCAACAGATGGAGATGGAAATAGAGCTGAAGTACAACAGTCGACCAGTTGTATGATGAAAGCAACACAGACTTTGGAATTACACAGTTTGTTTACTGTTCATACAGACATCGTGCACTACCTGAACTGGTTAACATTGTGTTCAAACATCAGATATCAAGTGAAACTTTGTACCCTATTTCAAAAAACTGAACGAGAAAAGGCAACAACAGAGCAACATATATTATACATATATTGATACATAAAGTTATGTATTTTTGGTGTTTCATCAACAGATATTTGAATATTTGAGTTTTTCCACCTTCATATTTCTTCATAAAATGATGGTGGAGCATTGTTTAGTAAGTGAGTACATTTATGTAAACTGTCTATTTCAGGAGTTATATCATCAAATAGTCAACCTGTGAAATTTCATCACAATAGGTGCTCAATTTTATTTTTTGTTCTTAGAAATCAGCAAATTATGTTTTGAATTGTATGCAAAAGGACAATTGGTACGATTACAAATTGTATACCAAGTATGCTTTCAGATTAAAAATCGAAAAAAAAAAAATTCTGATATAAAGCATCACAGCTATACATGTATTATGTCTTTAAAGGGAAGATACAACATTTGCAAACATCACAAAACGAAACGATCAAATTATCACAACATACCTTACTGCATTGTTAGGGAATGGCAGTCTAAAGTATCCTGTAAAAATGTGGTTCCCGGTGTGCTTGCATTTTCAAGAAAAATGGTATTTTTTTCCAATGCTGGTCGGCCGACCAGCGTTGGAGAAAACTGGCGTTTTTCAAAAACTGCTCCTACTTTTTCATAATGAGTTATTCCGCATTATTTTGCAATTGATTACACAACTGTGAAGGGGTAAAAGCCTGCTAGATTGATTCTCTGACCTTACAATTCCCAAAAGTCTATTCATTCTCCGTTTCATCTTAAGTGGGGTCGGGGAACCAGACTACAAGAACATGATTGGTTTTCTTGGTTTTTCCAGCATCTACGAGCCCAAAACGTGAAACAAGTCATTTTAACAATATTTGCTATATCAACATACTCCTCCAAATCCATTTATTTCTGAAAATTGCAGCAAAAACAAATGTTGTACATTCCCTTTAAATTCTTTCTGTAAAGTTTTATTTTTTTGTCTTCTTTTTTTAAAACTATTATTTCAGTTACATTTTGTTTTTAAATATTGTTTTACTTTCTCAATTTCCTTGGGTATAATCAGTTATTAAATGGAATCAAACATACACATTCATATACTATTTAAAGTCACTCATGGCAAAAGTATGCAATAAAAAAAAATCCCACAGTTATACAAAAAAAATGATTCCTTTTGTATCTGATTTATAATAAGCATTCTTTATGCCCCAGCTTGTCCGCCGGATATGATGCCAATGTATTCCATACATTAATTTTTGAGAGATTTATAATATTATACCACATTTTCCAATATAAAAAACGAACATGCAATGTGTTTTACACAATTCTTTAAAGACAGTGTAGTCTATATGTGACACCTAATCATGTCAGTTATTTCGACTGCTCTTTAGAAGGGCATTGGCTTAACAAAGCAAAAACAACCCAAAATATGAAAATATATACAAAAACGCACACAATATTGATTAACTTCAAGACCTACAAATTCACCAGCATGCAAGTCAACTAACATAAATTAAAAATAATTGGCTTTTTTTGCAAAGTTGCAGAAAAGCCTTTGTGTTTGTTCTGATTTGTTTCTTTCTTCTTTTTGTTCTATCCCAAATCCCATAGGCTCTGTGCATGATTTTTCTCCCATCCAATTTGGGCATTCATCTTTATCATGCATCGTTTAGAAGTAGCATAGACATTAGTCCCTATAGCAAAGTTGTGTCATCATGTGTCATGTGACATCATCTTAAAGGTGCATTTTTCAAGGCCTTTATCTACAGAAGTACAAGGTTGGGTTGAAACTCTGTATAAACACATACCAGGATGTTTATAGATGAAAATTGTGGTGACATCATGATGACGTCATCATATCATTTTCTTTGGATTTTCGACATTTTGAAGTTTATTGCTGTATCTCACAAACGCAACATGCTAAACTCGACATTCTTTTTGTAATAGGGTTATTAGGTCATACATATTTGGAAAAAAAGCTAAAAATGTGTGATGTCACCATGATGTCATCAATAACACAGTTTTGCAAAACACATAAAGATAGGTTCGGGCGTCTTGAAACTTGGTGGGAAGGAGGATAATGTTGCTAGCATGCAAACTTAAAAATGACGTCAAGATGACGTCATCAACTAGTTATGAATAAATGTTTAAACTTTTTTTTTTTGGCAAGCAGCTAACTTTGACATTAAATGCATTTTGTACAAAAAATTATCATTAAAAAGACTGCACATCGCCCCCAAAAAATAAACTCATAAAAAAATCATAATGCAGAAAAGCCCTACGTTCTGTTCTTAAACAGACATATACCTCTAGTTGTGTTTTAGAAACATCACTACTGCTACCAACAAAACTAAAATTGACTATATTCATTAGCTGCTTTTCCCTAAAATAAAAACCTTTTGGCAGTCCAGAGCCTCGCTACATATTGTGTTCTTATGAGACATCAAAGTGTTTCAAACGACTGTGAGGGTGAAGCTTGTGTCCTTGAGCAGACCTTTTACATCAATTTGTCCAATTCATTAATGGATCTAAAGAAAAAGGTTTGGGTTAGCTGTGTGCCCCACAAGAAGCTCAGACAATTTTAGGAATACAATTTTAGGAATACAAGAAGCTCAGACAATTTTAGGAATACTCATCAATACTTTTGTTACGTTCAAAGAAACTATAGCAACTTGATTCTTAATTGGAGTTGCGCACATAATTAAAAAAACAAACCTTTTGGTTGCAGAAGCACCAAGTTTATACGTACAGCCTGTGCACAAGTCATGCGCTTACGAACACCATGAAAAAACCGTAATATAACATAGCTTTTGAACATGAAAAGAGTAATATAAACTTTTCTTTCATATTACCATCTCAATAATGTCTTCTTTGACTGTTGGATAAGTCTAAACCATCGGCAAGAAATTGAAACATTATTTGGTCTTCTCCAAATTAAAGCACACATCTCCAAATTGATTATTTTCATAATTTGATAGCCTGAACACAGTCCTCTGCAGCATGCAAAGCACAAAATGTGCTATCCGTCCTTATTTTCTACAACTAAGAAAGCGTTAGCACTAAAGCGATGGCTCGTCTTGAGGACCATCTTCACGATGCAAACCACCTTCTTAAGTTCCGGCCTTCACCAGGGAAGCAAAGATACTATCTTCCTGGGCTAGTAGATTCTTTGGCGTATCATATTCTGCAATTCTGCCCTCATTCAGAACCAAGATGTGGTCCGAGTCCAGGATGGTTTGCACACGATGCTGCAAAAGATGGAAATAAGTTTTAGCAGGTAACACTGAAAGCCTGAAACTGAAAAATATTACCACGGATATTGTGGCTGTGGGACTGGAAGGCTTCAACAGAAAGGTGAATTTCAATTTCTCACGCCTGGTTATTTTTTAGTGCCAAGACATTTTTCTGGTGTTATGGCAGAAATGGGTATGTTACTTACAGCTATGGTGAGTACAGTCCTCTCCTTGAAGGCACAGGTTACAATGTCTTGAAGAATGGCATCCTAGGAGGAAAAAAAATGTCAAATTAAAAAAAAGACGGTCTTGAAGACCCGATGAGACCCGGCACCCGATAAGAGGACAGGATAAAATTTGTTGGAAGAAGTCCAGCAACAACAGTTGAATGAATTGTCAACCCAGAGAGGATGAGATGATGTAGGCACTCACGGTTTCCAAGTCGATGGAGGCGGTTGCCTCATCCATGACCAGGATGCGAGTCTTCCTCAAGAAGGCACGAGCCAAGCAAAACAGCTGCCTCTGACCCACGCTGAAATTCTCACCTCCCTCCGTTACCATGGCATCTAGGGGAAAAAGGAAACAACCCATAAGTGTTGATCGCATTGAATGCCACGGATGGGCTAGAGTCACAATGGAGCAAGTTTAGTCAAGGACCATCTTTCAATCTGTGAAGAAAGGAATTCAGGAGAGATTAGGATGATGGTGAGCTTAGTTCTTGTGTTCTTGGGCAAGACACTTTATTACAATTGCCTTTCTTTACCCAGGAGTATAAATGGGTACCTGTGAGGGTAGAGACCCAGCTGAGGGAATCAGCATTCAGATATGTCCAGTAAAAAAAGCTCAGAAAAAATAATGGGGAATTCAAGAAGTGAAATTAAAATCAAGTCAATCTTACCCAGTTTGAGGTCGAGCTCAGACACCACATCTTTTAGTTGCGCAATCTCCAGGGCTTCCCATAATGCATCATCATCATGCTCGCCCTGAGCATCAAGGTTAAACCTTGGAAACAATTTTAAATTTAAAAATACAAATCGTCTAACAACAAGTAATTTGTTTTTGCTTTATCTGCAGTGCATTACGGGAAAACTTGACATTCATACAAACACATTGTTTTTATTTTGTTCTATTTGACAGGAAGTCAGCAGTTTTTACTCTTTAAAGGAGGAAAGCATTTTGAGTTGAAATTATTTCTTCTGAATAAAGTCTTCTGAATTATGCAAACAGTGAAATATGGATTGTAAACTGTAGGAGGTTGAATATTAATAAACATTTAAAATTGGTGTGTTCAAGACCAATGCTCCCTGATTCACAATGTTAACCTTTTCCTGCCCCAGCGCCCTTTTCCAAAACAAACAGCATGAGCCAAACTTCAGTTTTTAGGGTAACTTTTTTACCTGATAGTGCCAGTGAAGAGTACGGGGTCCTGTGGAATGATGGCCAGACGACGTCTGACTTCCACCAACGGCAGGTGGGCAATGTTCACCCCGTCTATCAAGATTTGCCCTGTCAAGGTCAGAAATGAATCCTTTAATTTAAAGAACTGTTCACGGGCAATGTTTAAAAGTTTAAAGATGCATTCCCGATGCTATTTTCAAGTCTTAAAATTAATGTGGCCTGACGTTGCGAACTTAGCAAGTTCTTCTTCAGAGGCTAAAACAGAAATGACAGAGATACATACATTAACATGGGGGTGCACACAAACATGCAGGGCTGAAAGAAGAAACACAAAAGGAGGATTAGGAGGGAAAGGTGTGGAAAGATGCAGGGGAGGGTGGATGAGAGAACAAAGAAACAAAGGGAGATGGCAAACCACAAGGGGTCTGGTGTAAACAGGGGAGGGACCAGAAAGGGGAAGGATCAAAGGTCACAGGGAGTGGGAACGGACAAAAGAGTGTGAGAGTGAAGGGATGATGCGGGGGGGGGGGGGGGGGGGGGGACAGTATAGAGGTGGAAAGGGATGAAAGATGGTGGGAGATGTGTTAACACAAACAAGGAAGACCAGATGGATTATCTGTAACAGAGGACAATGGAGGAAGAAAAGGATTAATCATTTCCAAGTTGGATGTTGAGACCATGTGGTTGAATAGTTCGAAGACGATTCATCCACACCTTCTCTCTGCTGAGGCGAACTGACTCTTTGCGATGGCCAAGAGATTCAATGCCCTGCAAAATCATATCAGAAATGGAGTGGTTAGGCAGGTTGAAGTGATGACCAACAGGGGTGTCTAGTTTCTTGGTGTTGACCGTTGACCGATGGGCATAGAAACGCTTCTTGAGCGTATTCTTAGTCTCACCTACATACTGCACTCCACAGACCCTGCAAGAAATGAGATATATGACATTAGAGGTGTTACAAGTGATGTTACCAATGGTTCTGTGGGTAGTGACAGAAGAGTGGCCAGAAAAGGAGTCAGACTCCTGGATATGAATCTGGCAGACAACACATCTGGAACTGCACTTGAAAGTACCATGCTGGGTGGGAGGGGATGCATCTAAGGATGGGACTTCAGCTCGAACAATCAAGTCCCGTAGATTTCGAGGACGCCTGTAAGCCAATGTGGGGCCGTTGGGGATGGCGCGGGCAAGGCGATCTGAAGTATGGAGGATATGATGATTGTCATTAGTGATTTTGCGGAGGGGAGGGAGATTGGGGTGAAACGTGGTAACCAAGGGAATCATGGGTTTGGCCATGGCATCAGGGGCCTTTCCCGTGAGAGCTTGATTTCTGGGGATAGATTTAGCTCTGGCAATGGCACGATGAACTTGGCGAGAGCTGTGACCCCTGGCCACCAAGTTGTTCTTCAGTATCTGTGTATGGCGGGAGAAATCGGAATCATTAGAACAAATTCTTCTGAGTCTGAGTGCCTGGCTAAACGCTATGCCAGTTTTGCTGTGCCTGGGGTGACAGCTGGAGGAGTGGAGGTACTGGTGGGTGTCTGTGGGTTTGGAATACAGGTCAGTGGTTAGTGAGTTGCCTTGCTTGCGGACGGTGACATCCAGAAAGTGGGTTTGGTGAGCCGAGAACTCCGATGTGAATTTGATGGTTCTGTGGAAGGAATTGATGTGGTTAGTGAAGGTCAAGAGACTGTCCTCATCACTGGTCCAGATGAAGAAAACATCATCAATATATCTCCACCAGATCCAAGGGCGACATGGGGCCGAGGCAAGAATGCGTTCTTCGAGGTCGCCCATGAAGAGGCAAGCCATCGACGGGGCCATGCGAGTGCCCATTGCAGTGCCGTGTACCTGTAGATAGTGTACAGCTTGAAAATAGATTCCTTTCTAAACTGCTTTTTTTTTCTAGCAATACAAGATTTGTTCACCTACGAAAAAGGAATTCTTTGCTTGAAACAAAACTTACAACTTGAAAAGCGGTCAAGAGAAAAAAAATAGAATTTGTTGAAAAGCATGGAGAATGCAATTAACATTAAAAACACTTTGGCAAGAATTTCCGAATTTGTGTGTGTGCAGATCCCTGCATTCATGCGTAGCGTAGCAGTATCTCTGAATTGTAGAACCCTGCATTAATGGACAGTGTAACATTTGCAAAAATGTAATGCCATGACACCAGTGATGCAATATTTCATTAATTAATAGGACTGTTGGACTGACCTTTAAATGTCTGGATGATCCTAAAGAGGGTCAGGGTCAGTGATGATTTACCGCTTCCAGTCCGACCACAAATCCCGATCTATCAACAGAGAAAATCCAAATTTCAGCTCTCTGCTTGTATGTGCTCAGGCACAAAACAAAACATGTATTGAAAAGTTTGTACTTTTATTGAAAAGTTTCCAATATAAAAAAGGATAGAATTGAGTGATTATTTACCATCCAACGTCCTTCAAAAGGTTTTGGAAAAGTATGTTCCATTGCAGTAAAAATGTAATCAATCTTGTTTCTTACAAGTTTTTGAGGAGTGTGGCCTATTGTTTAGGGTTTGTGACTCATGATCAGAGGGTCAGGGGTTCAAATCCAGCTGCTGACCATATGTTGTGTCCTTGGGCAAGCCACTTCATCCCCACTTGCCTCTATCCACCCAGCAGTGGGTACTGGCATTAGCGTGGGACTAGCCTGCGACTAGCATTCCGTCCAGGATGAATATAAATATTATCAGTCGTTTCATGCTATGACCTGATGGGCCACATTGGCTCATGACAGACTTTACTATTTACTTTAAAGTTCCATTGGAAGATTTTTAGGGTTATCAAACTCAACTATCACGTCAGGGTACCTTTTCTCCTGCCTTGAAGTGAATATCAATACCATGGAGCACAGGATCAAGATCTGAAGCATATCGGGCTGAGACACCCTTGTAGACAATCTCACCCTGATCTGGCCAATCATGGCGTGGCTCAATCACACCTGTACCAAAACACAAAATGAAGCATAGGTCAGTAACAGGTGTTTATTAAGCTACAAATGTCAGTGACAGCTGTTTAAAGCTACAGCTATGTCTATTGCCAGTATGTGCTCATGTAGCTGTAATTGTCCAAGACCACACAGGAGCTCTAAGATAAGAGCTTCTGACGCTGCCTATACTACCCTTTTGAAAGCATTTTTCTAGCATCAGGGTGTGTAAATGTTTTGTTGGTATTGGGTTTTTAATATCTATTACTTCATTACTTGAATAGGGCAAACTATTATTTTGACATTCAAACTGCCATTCACAGACCTTTATGTGTTCAATAAATGTCACTTGTCATTTCTTGTCCCTTGTCACAGTCATTGTGTCACTTTGCACAAACCCTTTTGCTGCCATTGCCAGACTTGTATCTCACTCAATATCTGTCATTTGTCATTTGTCATTCTTTGTCACTATCATGATGTCACTTTTAACTTATCATCATGCTTTTTTAAGGATCAATAAGTGTCTCAACAAATGTCATTTGTCATTTCTTGTCACTTGTTAGGCTGAATGTGTCACTTTTCACAAATATGCTTCCACTGAAGGAAATTTACATCACTCAATAATTGTGAGATATCATTGTCACACATGTCACTCAATAATTGTCATATCTCGACAGTTATTTGTCACAGTCACTTGTCACTGTAATGTCACTGCCATTTGTCATCATCATTTGTCCACTCACCGTCATACTCCTCTTTCTTGACAGACTTGTAGTACTCCACTCGTTCCATGGCATTCATCTGCATCTCCAGGCTAGCTGACATCCGGATCACCCAGTTCAACTGGCTCGAAATCTGCATGTCAAATGACCGCAAAATTAACAAGCGCCCAAAAGCATTCCCTTGTTCTTGGTAATCCCCTGTTACTTGTGACTGGCTTGTGAAATGCCTTGTGATGTCCTTGTGACTAGAACTACAAATTGACTAGTGATTTATTTGTGAGGGATTGTGATGGACTTGCGAATGGACTTGTGATTTACCTGTGACAGGAGTTTGGCTCGGCTCCAACACTGACTTACGCTAAGAGCATTAAGGAACGTGTAATGGACATGTGACGACATTGTGACTTCTGAATCGATTTGAGATTTACTTGTGACTGAAACCTTGAAATGACTTGTGATTTACTCTGACAAGACTTGTAATGAAGTTGTGATTTACTTGTGACGGCCTTGTGATTTTCTTATGATGGGACTTAAGAACTGACTTGAGAGTCACTTGTGATGGAAACAACTATTGGACTGACTCACAATGGGAGAACAGGTTGTAGTCTCAGCAAGGTTGGATTTCATTTGTTATTCTTAATCACCTGTTACTTATGACTGGACTAGCAAATCGACTTGTGATTTAGTTGGTATAAGACCTACGATAGATTTTTGACCAACTTGTGATCAAATTCTGACTTACACTGAGAGCGTATGTTATTGCTAGTCCCACCAAGCTAGGCTGGAGGCCACCTGAGAGGGCCGAGATCATGGTTGCAAGACCGGCAAATAACACGATGGCCGCTCCAATGAGTTCCTGTCATAATAGGGCCGACATAATTTCAGAATGGGTTAGAGTGTTCACTATTTCATTCTGTTTCACTTTTGTGAATGATATACCTCGATAAGATAAAGGATAATTTTACAACAGGATCATCGAGGTTGAACAGATTGACATTACCTACAGGAATTGAAAATTGAAGTGTTCAATTTACTGTTTTGCAGGAATTTGAAGAAACAAAATCTGGAATATCCACTGCTATTGTTAATTGATTGAATTCGAAATTTTAACATCTTGAGTAAAAGGTGATTTGAATGTAATTAGGCGTGAGGTTGTCAATTGCCCAGATATTGATGTCGTTGTTTAAATCTCAAAAAAAGGTGAAGCCAGGGATTTCACTCACCAGTCTGGTCCCCAACCACCTGTTCCCTGTATTTATGTACAGGAAAGTCAGGTTACTCAACTCAATCTTTTGGATGATGAGTTTCTGGAAGCGATGCTGCTGCCTGTTATTATTTAAGAGACAATAATATTCAGTAAATCATTTATTCAGTAGAATTCTTTTCAGACATGACATTTCACAGAAATGTGACACATTGATTTAAAGAATGTTAACTGTCTATTAAAACAGAAATCACTGTCTTATTTGCATTTAAAGTTACTGTTCCTTGTTTTAAATGACTAATTCTGCACCAACAAATTTAATTATAAATTAATAACCAGGAGGCCAGAAACACCGGGGCAAAGCCCTTCTCTTAGCGATAAATGTCACTGGGTTCTTTTACAAAATGTACATGCATTGCATTACACAACACACGGGACCTCTGGCTTTACGTCCCATCCGAAGGACGAAGCAATAATAGTTAAGTGCCTTGCTCAAGGGCACAAGTGTCCGGGCCCGGGCTCGAAACCCACGCCGCTGTTGCCTCTGAAACACCAGAGCACGAGTCCGGTGCTCTTAACCACTACACCATGACACTCCTCTGCGATGGTATTAAAGTCCAACCCGAGCACGTACGCAAACAAGAGCTTATAATTTCCTAAACTGTCTAACGATGCCTCACCTGTAGGCTCTGATGGTTGACAATCCTCCCAGAGATTCAGAGAAGTGTGCATAGACTGGAGACTTATTGATGCTGTCAAGACGCTGCAACTCCCTGCAGAAATGAAACAGATGACACACACATGACACATGATGACCTTCAACGACCTCTAATCTTTAATCTAATTAAAATGATTAACTTAACCTAATGATTTCACTTTAAGGTTTTGACAAACTGTGTTTACATTTCATTCAAGTACCTGGAACATGCACACAAATTGCAAAAATTGCACATACTGCTAAGAATGATGCTGCCAAATCCAAAAAGTTGCTTCATCTTTTAAAAGGACCTGGCCTTCAAATGAAAAAGAGGCAATTGCAGTAAAGTATCCTGCTTGTGAACACAAATACTATATCATGACTTTGTTTCTATCATCCTGCTGGGAAGGTTGCTTAAACACTTAAATGTCATGAACAATTTTTAACAGCCTACCCCTACACCTACCCCAAAAGTACAAAATAAATATATAAATTAAGAAAATAAAAATAACCTTAATGTTTCAAAAGAAAAAAGGCAATTGCTGTAAAGTATCTTTCTCGAGGACATAAACACTATTTTGAAATTTTATAAAAAAAATTCCAATCTGACCTGGATGTTGTAATGAAGACTTTCACCAGTAGGAGGTAAAAACACACGATGGGGATCAACGCGACGACGAAGTACCAGGTCACGATAGCGTCCACCAGCACAGCCACAAGGCAGGCCAACGAAAAAATCAAGAAACCATTCAGAGACTCTCCAAGTTGCTTGGGAAATGAAACGAAAGATCAGAATATGAAACCAAAACATCAGAAAAAAATGGAATGAAAACATCAGAAAAGGACACAAGAATGTCAGAAACGTGCTACAATCACAGAGTATTGTGGGATACATTACCGAGTCAATGACCGACATGTCAGAGGAGAACCGATTGAGAATTCGCCCAATTGGGGTAGTGTCAAAGAACCTGGCATATCAAATTGGAAACAAATAAATTCAGAATTTATAACGACATGTTTCAAACCTTCCATACAAAAAGTTTAAAAAATCCTGTGCAACGGACAAAAATACAATGTATGCAGATATCGACATGGAAAAGAATGATCAACCTGAAATGCCGCTAGAATGTTTGCTAGAAGGCTTCCTGAATTCTCCAAAAAACGTTGCTATGCGGGAAACCCAAAACCAACCATTTGTACTTAACTTTCAACGAGTATCAAGCTGCGTGGCTGGCCACTACATTCCTAGCTATCTCCAAAACTACTTGGTGGATTTGAAGATCACGGAAGAAAAGGGATTGTTGGTTTTCTTTGTAATAATACATCTTTTTAGTTTGTTTTTCTTTTTGCTTTCTTCATTGCAAAACTCAAAGAAGTAAAGTGAATGCAAATCTGAACCAACACCCACCATTAAAGATTTTTTTTAATTAACAGGCATGCAACTGGGAAGTCACAAAAAAAGAGGAAATTCAAATCTTTCCAAGACTTTGTACAGTGTTTTTCTATTTTCAATGGTGCACATGGGAAGCCAAAAAAGAGGAAATCAGCTGATCCGAGGAAAAGTTGCATGCCTGAATTAAACAAATTAGGATCTCAACTGGGCCCAAAACACATTTCTTACCTAAGCGGTGCACTCATGATGGTATTGAGCATGCTGTTATGAAGCTTCTTTGCTGCAAAGAGAGATCCAATGTAGATCAGCGTGAAGGAACCAGCTTCAACTAGGATACTGCCTACAGACAGGCCTGCATAGCCACCCAGGTAGTAGCCAAGAAAAGCATCCTGAAATGGCACAAGAGATAGTTAACTTGATTCAAGAACTTCAATCAAAATCCGACAATATTCAATGAACCCGAAAGACTAGCCTATCTTCTTTTGAATGACTGACCTGACTGACCTGACTGACCTGATTGACCTGACTGACCGACTGGCTGTCTGACCGACTGATCAACTGACCGACTGACTTGGACCGGCTGACTGACTCCCCAACTGACTGACTCCCTGACTCCCCGACTGACAGACTGACTCCCTGACTGACTGACTAAAAATCTGACTGCTTAAATTTATAGTGCAAAAAAACGGCCTCGCTCATCAGTGATCTGTGAAACATTCAACGTTCCCTCGGCTTTGCCTCAGGAGATAATATGCTCACCAGATAACTTTGGGTAACTAGTTCAACTATAATACTTAATGCAGGCAACAATTTGCTATTATCTACCTTGTGTTCGTTATTACTCACTTTGGATATTACTCGGTGGGTTATTATTTCGGTATTATTTACTTCAGTCTGGCATTATTCACCTTGGGATATAACATTTTTACTACACTACTCGATGGGTCAATATTTTGTTATCATTTACCTTTGTTTGGTGTTATTCACCTTGGGATATATTATTTGTACTATACCACGTTATGGGTCAATATTTTGGTATTATTTACCTTTTGTCTATCATTATTTGCCTTGGGATATTACTTTTATTATAAAACACTCAATGGGGTCAATATTTTTTAATATTTACCTCTGATCCATTCAGGGATGTGCTGAGATTATTCCCATGTTCTGACCACCCCGCCAGCCAGTAGTTGGTGCCCACACCCAGGCCGTTCTTGCCCAGAAGCAGCAGGAGTTGAAGAAAGAAGACCCCAAAGCCCAGGTGTTTGATGTAGACCAGATAGACTCGCCAGGAGACAGAGCCTTCAGCTCGTTCTTCCTTCTCAACCAGACGACCAGCTTGTGTCGAATCCGCTGACAAAAATAAAGATCCGGGGAACTGGGATTAAAGCTGGTAAGGACTCGGTACAGGAACAGGTTTTAGTTCCACTTAAGCAAAACAATGCTTGTTTTTGTCTCTGAACTTAACTGGCGTTCTAGAGTCGGGCCGAACCTGAAAGCGATTAGAGCCTGTGCGCAGTTCTATCTCATTTTGTAGTGCAGGATTCCATGACCTTTCCGTAATTTCCATGATGCCTTTTCCAGGTTTTTCCATGACTGTGGGAACCCTGCCATAGACACCCGTGTGTTACTGCCAGCTGTTGGCGTGGCCTTACCTCTGGCTAGCTCTGCCTTCTTCTTTTCCTCCATGATAGTGGAGACTTGACGCACCAGCTTGGCTCTCTCTTCTTTCACGTCTTCAGTTTCTGATTCGGATTCCTCGGCTTCGTTGGCCGTGGCTGACCAGTTGGCTACAAGCTCTGGGTTCTCCTCTCGAATGTCTTCTAGCGTTCCCTGGTGACGGATCACACCGTCTTTCATGTACACAATCTGTAAGTAAATGGAAAAAAAACCAATTGGTAGAGCCTTGCAGGGATATTGCTTAATGAAATTTATATGCAAACTGAAAGGGGAGATCCACTTACAATACCGCAAAAAAAACAGACCCCCAAAATGAAGAAAAACAGTTTTTGTCTTAATTTTTTTGGAAATGACGTTAAACTTGATCAAGGTAAACCCTCAAATGTATTCTTTTTGTCTGAGTGAAAAAAAAAATGTGATTTGGCCTCAATGTAAAAAAAAAAAATCGAAATCGAAAAATCGAAAATTTCTGACAACCAACGACCATTTCTGTCCCTACTAAAGGCCCAACATACTAAATCGAAATGTGAATTTGAGCAAATTTATGACATCACAGACAGTATATTCGTGATGAGATATTGTGAAAAAATGAATAAATTTCAATCTAGGCAAAATTCAACCGCTTCGTGATATGCTATTCAGTTCCCAGTGAAATTACGCGAATGCAAAGCAAATTCGGAACATAATGGCAACTATACCAGGGTTCTCCCCACGTACAAACGTGCGTATCGGCCCGATACGCTGGAATTGCGGCCCGATACGCCGACAAAAATGCCGATCACATTTTTCAGCCCCCGATACGCACAATATAATTATTATACAAGCCATTAAAATGCACAACATAATCGTTTCATACGCCATTATTTCATCTTGACATGCAAAATCTTGACAAAAATCCTGTATTTCTGATGCATGTGTGATCAAAATGCACACGGTGACGGGTCTTTCGCGTCTACCGCCAGGACCCAGCTATATATTAGCGCATACAGCATGGTACACTGGTTCCCTTCGCGTAGTATCAATGCTATGATGAAGGACCGGAACCAGTGACTACTGCCTCTGAAATAATTATCAATTAAGAAAGTCATTAACAAACCGAAAGCACGTCCCACAAAAAGATACCGAGCGGTAAAGTACGGCTAGTGAAAGCTGTCCCGTGGACATCGACAACCGGCCGTACGTAGGTGATGCTGCATATGCTGCATGCATGCTGCATGGATTCCCATGGACCACACCATTTGTGGTAATAAAGGGGTGCACGTTCTTGGGAACAATAATTACCAATATTTCCCCAGTTTAAAAAAGGAAAAAGACAACTAATACTTTTTATGGAGTTTGAAACATATCTTTATTTGATAATCAGTTGTTCAACGTCACAATATAATTTTTTTTCTTGAAATGTATTCAAGAAACGATGTAAAACTCTACCAAAATTAATGGATTCGTCCATAAAAATCTCAGCATCGTGTTGACTGTTTTCGAAGAAAGTTACGATCCAAACTTGAAGTTTTGACGTTACTACTTGTTAGTAATCACAACAATTTGATAAGTTTTGCTGTAAAAACGGACTTGTTTATCCTTTAGGACAAAACAACTCAGCGTCTGTTGCCACAAAGCAGGATTTGTAGCGCTCCAGTCAGACAACACATGGTGGGTTGCATAAGCCGTGTCCGCACTGGACTTTTTTTTTGAAGGTTTTACCGAGACGATGGTAAAATGAAAAATGGTCAAATGTGACCACTGTCCGCACTTGGACTTTCGACACGGGAAATTTTACCCCGACCGCGTGGGAGAAGTAACCGAGCTGTCACAGTGTCAGTATAATGACTCACCGTACGCAGAAAACAAATTGCCGATCACATTTTCAGCCACCGATACGCTCAGTAATATTACACACGCCATTTGCATGCATAACATAATCGTTTACACGATATTATTTCATCTTGACACGCTAAATCTTGACGAAAGGGCCTATAATTCTGACGCATTTGTGATGCACGTCGTCGAAGCCATGCCGCTGTACGATGTTCCGTGCGGCAGCAGTGCCATCAGTATTCGTTGGTTCCCATCGCATGCTTACAGAATCGAAGCTATGATGTGGGCCAGGAACCAGTGACTACGGCCTACGTACGGTACCGGACCATGATGTTCCGTGCATGACTACAGTAGCGTATCAGGACGAATTTGGATCGTAGAAAATAACAATACATCGGTGGAAAAAGAGAATTTCCGCAAATAAATTCTCAGAATGTGATCTCTCTTCTCTGTGTATGTATTTGTCCGTTGAAATATATATTTTAACGAGATTTTACCGCTCGGACTTGATAATACACCGCAGCGTGTTTCTACAAAATGTTCGGCCACTGCACGTGCAGGTTCGTGCGGTCTCTGTATGCATAACAGGGCGCTTGGGCCGGATGAACGCTTTCCTGAGCCGCTTTTACCGACTCGCACTGTCCGCACTGGACTAATCGTCTCGGGAAAAGCGACTCGGTCAGTTTTCCTGGGCGCGTGGGAAGTTTTCCTGGGCAGCAGTTGACCAGTAAAAGTAACCGCTGGACTCAGGAAAAGTAACTGAGAGGAAAACGTCCTAGGCTGTCCGCACTGGACTTAAAATGGGAAAAGTACCCATAGTCTCGGTTAGTTTGACCAAAAAAAGTCCAGTGCGGACAGGGCTATACTCTCTCAAGTGCTGGGGGAAAATAATGTCATTCGCCGGCACAGGCTCACTGACGAGCCAGCCGGCAGCAATTCCCGTTTTTTATTTCTCATCATCAATTTCCATATTTGTTTGTAAGAGTAATCGACTGTAAATGATTTGACATAACATTTGTGGCCCTTTTATAGCTTTCGTAGTGCAAATGGAACTGGTTCAGCATTTTGACTAGAATTTGGAGGCCTTGCAAAATTGAACCGTGCGGCTTATACGCCGATGCGGCTTATACGCCGACTTCAAATCTTAATTTGCAGATTTTTGCGTGCTGCGGCTTATAGGCCGCGCGGCTTATATTCCGAAAATTACGGTAGTGGAATCAACCACCTCAAATATATTTTTAATTAGGTGAGGCAAGTTTTAATCACTTTTGATGGTCAGTCTTGATAATTTTCGTGGTACAAAGGAAAATAATCCAGGCACAAAACTACATGATTCCTTGTTCAATATGCTCCATTCAATCATGTGTTTTTATTTCTCCATGATTCAATCAGCAGCCCAAAAAATTGGCGAAATAATTTTTTCGACCTTCCGATGCTATTTTGAAAGGCATGTAATCGGAAGCAAAAGCGATTTTTTTTTCTTCACCTTAATTTCTTAATTTGAAACTTGCTTGTAAATATAATCCATACTTTCTAGTTCAGGAAGTTTTAACACAGGTTTTGAAATGCTGAATTTTTTTTAAAGTTAAAAATGTTGTTTGTTTTTTTTCTTTAATTACAAAAAATATCACAAGATCTCCTCTAAATTTTAAGGACAAATCTTCCTTAAAGACTCCCCAGATTTGCTCTAAAATGCACCAGAGGGCCTCTAAAGTTCAAAATTTTTACACGCCGTGGCTTCCCAGGTTGGTGAATCACAACAAAACTTCCCCCACAGTTTTGAAAAAATGCTGGGGAGAACCCTGCTATACGCACTGTGAATTTTCACAAATTGAAGAAATTCAAGTCAGTCAAAAAGTGCTTGGCATTTGCATTAAAGCTACAGTCCATCATTTGTAATTTGTGCATTTTGTTCGTTTGAAGCAACAAAAGAGTTCAAAATCTAATGAAGGATACTGAGCAACTAACCTGATGAAGTTTCAGCTAAGCTTCAGCTGTTCATTCCGAGAAAAACAGCATTCTAAGATCTCAATTTCAAATCAAAAGTTACTGAATCATGTTTTGAATTGTTTTGAATTGCAGCTATACGCGACGTCATGCACTGATCCGACGAATTACAACAACCGCGCGCGCGTGTGCGTAGTTCCAATACTTGTGCGCGCTGCGCTGAATAACAAAACGAACTACTAATTTAAATTTTCCTACGGTGCTTCTTAAGAATCACCGTTGGAAATGCCTTCTTTCGTTGATTACTTCAAAATGACAGCTTCCCAGAAAGAATAATTTCACAGGGAGTTTAGTTCCCTTACTATCTTTCAACCAAGTCGGTTTTTCAACAATAATTACGTCAGTTACTTTTCGGATGGCTGCAAATGATGGACTCTAGCTTTAACATGAAGTACGATGAGGCCTTAAGAGGCAATATATCCAGACCTTATCAGCCTTGTCAGCATACTGCAACTGATGAGTAACCAAGACGACTGTGCGTTTACTCTTCCTCATCAAGTAGTCCTCAATGCCTTCCTTGAAGAGATGACTGCCAACGTGCATGTCCAAGGCGGACAAGGGATCATCCTGAAAAAAAAACATGGAAAAGACGATTGTCCGACAACCAATATTAAAAGCTTTTACTTAGGTGGCGCAAGCTTACACTCAAAACATAAGCCTAGAATTAAAACAGGTGTCTCTCTCAGGAAGGCACACTGTCCCTAAGACAGCAGGGATGTGCTCAGTCCATCACAAGTCCCTGAAGTCCATCAAAAGGCCTAAAGTTCCAATTCAAGCCACAAGCTATTCAAATGAGCTTTGACAAAGGCATTCTTTTGTTACTGTTCACCCACTGTCATTCGTGACTGGTTTGTGATGATTTACTTATGATGGACTTGTGATGGAACTCGTTACCTGTCATTTTCCATTGGGTAACAGGTACATGGGTATCCATTTGGATCCTTACAAGGATTGCAGACTCACCAGAATGACGACATTGTTGTGGCTGTACATGGTGCGACCCACGCTGACTCGTTGCTTCTGTCCTCCACTCAGATTGATTCCCTTCTCACCAATCTCTGTTTCATCTCCTCCTGGGAGGATGTCAATATCTGGCTGCAGGGAGCAGGCAGCAATGACTTTCTTGTACCTGGACAGGAAAGAAGGAAAGGGAGCTTGCACTGTCATCTCATGAAGCCACAGTGCCCAGAACTGAAATGCATCCTGTATATTCAACCATCTGTTAGCAACAAGGGAGTCAGGTTGGCGCAGCGGTACTTTCCTCGCCTTCCATCTCTTTGATCTGTGTTCTCGCCCTGCCCAGGCCGTCATGTGGATTAGGTTTTTCACTCCCTACCTGATTCTGTGGCTTTTCCTGGAATATCCTTCAGGTTTCCTCCCACCTCTAAAACTGAACATTTCTTCACTGACTTAACTACGTTTTTCAATCTTCTGAGCTACACGTGCTTGTGCATGTTTGAAGAATCCTTGGTTTCATTATCAGAAGAATTAAAACAAACAAATGGCACATGAAAACGTGAAGCTCTTAAAATGTGGTATTGAAATTCAGTACCTGTCTTCTTCAAGTTTGTTTCCAAAAAGAATGTTCTCTTCGAGGGAAGCATTTAACAGCCAGGCCTTCTGAGCTCCATAAGCGACGGAATCATACTGCCTGAAATAATGCATATGATGGAAACAATTTTGAAAGAACAGGAAATGAACACAGCTTGCTTGTATTTTCAAGTGCAATCATGTGAGATTGTCTTCAAACAAAATTGAATCTTTAATACTTATTGGTCGACTGTCTATTTCATGGTGCATACTGATAGAGTTGGGAAGGCTATTTTAAATCAATGTTATCTAAATAAATGTTATGTAAATAATATAAAATCCTAATCATTTTAGGTAAAATGGCAAGTAGGGGTAAAGTGGCTTCCCAAAGGACACAACACATGGCCGACAGCAGGAGTCAATGGACATTTGAAACATTATGGACATAGACATACACAACATTAACACATTTAACACAATGAAGACAGACCTATACATTTTTCGCCTATTTTCTGAAAAGTACAAGTAGAATGCATGAGAAGAAGGCCACCTGTTTTAAGTTTCAAACACCTGTATTCCATTAAGGACACCTGTCCACACCTGTATTCCATTAAGGACACCTGATCACACCTGTATTCCATTAAGGACACCTGTCCACACCTGTATTCCATCAAGGACACCTGTCCACACCTGTATTCCATTAAGGACACCTGTCCACACCTGTATTCCATTAAGGACACCTGTCCACACCTGTATTCCATTAAGGACACCTGTCCACACCTGTATTCCATTAAGGACACCTGTCCACACCTGTATTCCATTAAGGACACCTGTCCACACCTGTATTCCATTAAGGACACCTGTCCACACCTGTATTCCATTAAGGACACCTGTCCACACCTTTTGTCCATTAAGACCTGTTCCATTTACCTGTATTCTATTAAGCTAGGACACCAGTCCACACCTGTATTCCATCAAGGACACCTGTCCACACCTGTATTCCATTAAGGACACCTGTCCACACCTTTTGTCCATTAAGACCTGTTCTATTTACCTGTATTCTATTAAGGACACCAGTCCACACCTGTATTCCATCAAGGACACCTGTCCACACCTGTATTCCATTAAGGACACCTGTCCACACCTGTATTCCATTAAGGACACCTGTCCACACCTTTTGTCCATTAAGACCTGTTCCATTTACCTGTTCCATTGGACTCTTCCTGAGACTGTGGTCATCTCTCCCAGGATAGCAGACAGTAAGGAAGACTTGCCTGATCCTACCTGACCCACTACCATAGTCAACTTGCCTGTAACAAGAAACAAAGCAAGACATTGTCTGGTGTCAGGGGGCTAATTGTTCTATCATGGTACATGTATGTATTATGTGAAATGTTAACGGGTTGATGACAAGCTAATCAAGTTATATACTTTATGATGTCTCTGTGGAGTCATCATTCATGTACTCCTCAAACTTCGCCTTAAAGAATCTAAAAGATTACAACATGGTTGAAAACGACCCTGCGTACAAGCAGCAATTCAGCATGCCAACTCATATCGCCACTCCACAAAGATCCGTGGCTAAGGAGGGTTCAAAAACAATGTGAAAATGAACGCATTGACAATTTCCAGGCAAGGTTTTATGTTGTGAATTCACAAAAGTCGAACTCAATTCAACTCTTTTATGACATCAAATTTGTTTCGCATTCACAGTTGAATAAATACGATATAACCTAGAGAGTTTGTAAGTATAAAGTCACTTACCAGCTGGGATATCCAAATCGATATTTCTGAGGGTTGGCGTACTTGCAGTCTGGTCCCATGTATAATCACCGCTGATCTGTAAGGACAGAAAGGAAAGGAAGGATTGTAAGACTGACAATAGTAAGAAAGGGACAGATGGTGAGATTACTGGGGGATACATTGGAACGCATTTCTGACAATACCTGATGCTAATTAACACAAAGACGCTATGGCTTGGTGTGCATTCAAAATACAATAAGTCATGCATACTTCCCGCTATTCACTCACGAACCAGGGGCTCTCTGAGGTGGTAAGAAGATGCCGTTTCTTGTTAGTGCACAGACCCTACAGACTCTATGCCAGAAGAGCAGAAGATGCTGTATACCTACGGTGTGTTTATGAGAGCTAGCGAGTCAAGTTCATACTGCATATGCGCGCAACCTTACCTTCCTGTGGACATTATTTTGTATATGTGTAGTTAAGAAAAAAAAGGAGAAAAAAGCTAATTTACTCGCACTGTGAATACCAATTCAATCCAATGTTTCTTATCATGATATCCTTGAGTGTTCTCTTCATTATGCGATGGATAAACCTAACCCAAAAATGCTTCTAAACCTGTTTTCCAGAGAGGGGGAAACGTAGTGTGGACGTGTGCAAGTCCACAAAGCGTTCACGCTTCCTGCATCCTGTGGACCTCTTTATTCACAGGTCCACAAAGAGTATGCAAGGTTACTGCACTAGCTGGATCCTACCGATGTTGCACCAATTTCTCTGTTTTCAGCTATTAAGGACTTATTCAAATAGCTGAAGCTTGCCAATGCAGCCACAGGCTGGGATCAATCTTTTTGGCAAAATTAGTGGGTTTTTTTTGTTTTTTTAAATATGTCATATTCTTGTTGGAAATATTTTTGTTCGTGTTCTTCTTACCCTTATTGCAATATTGTCTGGTAAGCTGGCCGGATGCACAGCTAATGTCAGTAATGGCTGTCTGTCCTCTGCTCTCCGTTGCTTGGCAACCTGCACCAGAAAATAACATATGAGAGAACATTGCAACATTGACACATGATGAAGACAATGTTGTGTTTGAGTCCTCACAAGTCTATCACAAGTCATCTAGTCCCTAGTTGAGTCACAAACTATTCGAATGAACTGGGAAAAGAACATTCCTTTGTTACTGTCCATCCCTTGCAATGTGTAGGAAAGTTGCGAGATTACTTGTGATGTAATCAGCGGCGTAGCCAGGGTTCTCATCCTAGGGGCCAAGAGGGGGGCCTGGAGGTTACAGCGGAGGGCGTGCCCAATTTCATCCGTGCTGAAAGGCAGTCCGGTATGTTTCCCCGCACAACAGCCAGCCTCCGTACAATTAAAAAGTGGGGGAGGGGGGGGGGGGGAGGGAGAAATGGGGGGGGGGGAGGGATGGGATGGACACCATTTTCCTAAGGGGTGCTATTCAAAACGGAAAACATGGTCAATGTCAGACAGTAGGTGGCACTATTCGCTTTTCATGGAACATTAAAATGAAAAGCCAACTGCAAAAATACAGTTTGTTGGGGGGAATAGGCACTTTATGTTCATCCTGCTAATCTTGGTAACGTATAGGACTGTGCTATTCTCCGACTGCCAAATTTGCGGGGGGGGGGGGGGGGGGGGGGGACGGCGGCGACTAGGGGTTTCACCAATTTTCCATAGGAGCGTCCCCCCCCCCCCCACAGCTATGCCGCTGGATGTACTCGACTACAACACTACTTGTTGATGACGGGAATCAGTACAAGAGACAAAGGTCAGGCATTTTATCATTCTTTACCTGAGGGTTACACATGTGACTCCCAAGGGGGTGCGCAAAATCATATTAAGATTTGAGGATTCAGGACTGTTAGGGGTTGAAACACCTGTTGTACCTGTGATACATCATACCGGCATGCATCACACAAGAAAACACACATGTGAATTGGTGACATAAATGGCAAGTATTCATGCTGCAATTCTGCAAAAGTCAAGCATATGTAATTTCTGCAAATTTTACCATGAAATTTCCTTAACATTGAGTTTGATTTTCATTCTCAATCCGACGAGTTCAGATCAGCTGATACTGTACATTACTTTAAGATATAAAAACAATAAACCATCAAATCAATAGAAATTTGTCACGAAGAGCAACTATAAGCATTGGGTAAAAGTGGAGCAGTTTCTGAAGACTTTTTTTTCTCACCTTTTCATTGACGAGTCCTCGGTCAACTTCCATCTCCGTACCCTCCTCATCCGATTCCAATTTCTCAATCTCCAGCGCCTCGAAGAACGCCCTCAGGCGCTTGGTGCTGACCATGGCGTTGATGTGCACGACAAGAACGTTAGGCATGATGATGAGCGGTAGCGCCATTTGGTTGAAGACAGCGAGGGCAGCAAACGCAACGTCCGACGTCAAGGGCTTGCCCGACAGTTTGGTGTACAGGCCATACGACTGTCAAAGGATGTAGAATAGTGAAACGAGTGGGTCGGAACCAGACAAAAATCAAACCAAAAATGTTGCTTGGGGAATTTGCTCAGTGAATAGGCTTAGAATGATTCAGCTGGCAACCGCGCAGTTACAAGAAATACACAATGCATGACAGTTTGGCCGGTGACCCGGTTTTGTTAAGCGAACATTTTGTGTGCTGTCAGCTTCAGAAAATTGTTTCACCTGGATTTCTGAAGAATTACTTTCAAAGGAATTTCCATAATATAAGTCCATTAAAAAAAATACCAGACACTCACCACAAGTGTAACTATCAGAGGGCTGGCATTAGTAACAGTCACTGTATCGGCAAAACAAGAAAATGAAACTACTGTTTGAAGAACAATGCAAGGTATGATAATAAGATATAAAAATATCCAAACAAAATAATAAAAAAAAAAATTAATAATATTAATTTTTTTATGAAATGTAATATTAACATTATCATAAACATAAACAAGCAGGATATCGCATTTTGCGTGCCACCCATTAGCTGTGTGTCTTACAAATAATCAGTGTGCCCTTAATAGATGTATGTTTGAGTAACTGAGGTTTCAAAATGCATAATGCGAAATTCATATCGTACACATTTGTATGATCGACGGTTAAAGGGTATTTTGCCATATTTCTCATCATGAATGTTACGTTTTGCCTAATAGCGACACATTTTGGAGTGTTTTTATAGAGATAATGTTCTAATAACTATTCAAAGTCTAAAAGAAACAAATTTGCCAAACAAAACAAACAAATCCATGACCTCAGAGGATAGTGCAATCGGAGCATACTATTTAAGGATGTGCATACAATCACCAAGCCTCTCCATTAACCACTGCACTTTGTGCTTGGGCATGCTCTTTAGGCCTTTTACAAAAAATGTGATACACAGACATCAGACAGAAAGACACCATGACAGACAGACACCATGACGGACAGACAGACATGAGACAACAGCGTATGAGTTTGTCGAGGTAGTTTTGTTGACACTAACTGGATTATTCACAAAGTCAAGTCCCTAAATAAGTAACAAAGTGATACATGATGTTTGAAAGGACAATATCATTCCTTCTAGCCGTACACGTGGAGCAAGCTCAGTTTAATATTAGGTTTTGCCCTATCATCGATGCACTGTATACTTAGTGTGCTACCTCCCGAGTGAAAATTGGATACAAAATCACTCCGGTGGGATATCACAAGCTCGGAGGTCGAGTGAATGGCAAAAATCTTATATTGACTTACATCACCCCAACGCAAAAAAAATCCATCGTATGAAAAGCTTACGTTTAATATACTTGTAGTTGATTTGTGACGTCATTTATCCCATTCGTATCAATATGCAAACATGTCTGGTCAGCATAATGCCTGCATAAGGCTGCTGGCTCCCTGCTATGCATTATGATGCACGTGGCTATTGTAACCAGTGATGGGACCGACTACGGTAGACTGGTCCCTAGCATATTCGGCTTGACTTCTCTTACTACAGTCAACTGTGTGAGTTGGAGTGAAGATAGTCAGAATATCGTTAACAATAGTTCTTACTTGTAAAATGGCTCAAACTTCTTTGCGTAATAAGTCATGAATATTTTCTCAAGCTTACTGAGCAGAATTCTCCATCCCATCGCCTTCATCATGGTCAAGATCTCCAAGGCTCGTACTTTGCTGATGGAGGTATAGAACATGTCTTCCCACCCATACAGCTTGATCAGCTTAATTCCTTGCAGCAACTCATTGGTTAGCTTCAGACGCTCGTCAGATTTTTCCTGAGGTAGCAAGAAAAGAAATTGAACCTTAACACAAGATTCACCCATAACTATATATATTGATGACTCAATCATCTATAAGAAATGAAAAGTTTTTTCCTTTCTTTGGCTGGTAAAATTTCCCAAATTTTGCAACCTCTCCCCCCCCCCCCCCCAACAAAGTCACCTAGAGGTGAGGATCTTAATTTGTCACTTTCAGAGAGAATTCTCATTCCTGGGACACCATCTCCAATTCAGTCCGGTTGCCAGTTTTACTTTATCACCAAAGTAAAAAGACATCCCAACTCTGGACCTTAAACTTGACCAAAACTTGACGTTAGTGGGCTCAATTCCATGGCGATGCTAAGTACTTAATCTTTTTCTTTTTTGGCTTATAGCCCAAAAAAAAACAGGTTACCAGCCAAAATGCTATGGGATGTTTATTGGTAATGACTGGTCCCCTGCATATTTTGGGACTAGCATAAATTCATGTCTTCAATTATTAGGTGCATTAAAAAGGCACTAGGCCCTGCGTTACTGCCAGCCAAAGGCCACATCTGAATGACTTGCGGCTGGAAATTACACAGGCGCCTATGGAAGCAGTTGCAGCCACTTCCCATAGACCCGTGTACGTCCAGCCGTAGCCACGTAATTTGGACACAGCCTTACACTAGCAATTCACATATTAGCCTTGTTCAAGGCGGTCTCTCGGCTTTTTGTCGAAGGGAGATAATCGGGCCCTGCACCCACAATCAACGCGGCTACGTGCGTGTACCACCGACCCTTGTCCGTACGAACGGTTCGGTACTAACACAAACCAGCAATCACACACAAGCGAGTACGGACTGTACGCATGGTGCATGTAAGGCAGTAAATGTAGGCCTACTGTGTTCTGCGTGTGGGTGTACGTACGTACGTGTGGGGGATATACGCGCCGCGTGGCCTGTCGAACGACCGCCTTGTTGGGTCTGCAACTTCCGGGTTTAATGTCTTTCTTTACTTTTTCGTCCAGTTTTGGACGAAAATGGGCGGGCTTCAGGATATGCGGGTATGCCGTGATGATTATGTAGGTTCGTCTTGGACCAATCACATGAAACAACCTTCCCAATAGTATGATTAATTCATTTTTAAGCTGACCAATCGTAAGCTTCACAAGAATCATGTGACGTCGCGCGGCATGCATAATGCATTAGTCATCATGGCGTCTTCCATGTCTTTTTAGCGAGAGCGAAATGTTCGTCACTTTTTCAACAATTTGACATTGATTCAAGTTTTTCGGCTCGTGTAATGAATCCATTTGAGTGGGCAACGATCCTCTAATGACAGCATTACCTGCAGAATTCGTTGGAGCCTTCAATACTGCTTCGGACAGACTGGGACTGAACGACTTTCACCCACAGCAACGGGCCGCCATTGCAGCGTTTCTTCGCGGATGCGACGTGTTTGTTAGCCTATCGCGGGCTGACCAATGAGAATTCAGTTTACGCGGGGGTGGTACCTCATTACCGTAATAGGTTTTGCTGGGTAAACTCAAAACCATCAAGGCGTTGGGTTACGCGGACTAGCTCATGCATGTACTGTGTGTGCATGGCTGTTGTACGAGTACGTGTGTGTACGTGCGTACGTACAAGCATAGCCTTGCTGTATGGTACAAGTTACTTTCTCACTAGCAGCGTACGGCATCGATATGTGCACACAATTATGCCTTGCCAAGATGATTAGGGATTTTCTTATCGGCGATTTTTTTTTATCGTGGAATCGATAAGCCCAACGCCTTGGTCAAGGCTATTCACATATGGACTTATTGTGAGTTTCTCAAAGTCTGTCAAGGTCAAAAGTATGGTGTTCTATAGACGCCAAATCTGCGTCGCGTCGTGCTTTCACGTCGTGCCGTCGCGTCGTACCGTCGCGTCGTACCGTCGCGTCGTGCCGTCGTCCGTCGCGTCGTGCCGTCGCGTCGTGGCGTCGCCCGTCGCGTCGTGCCGTCGCCTCTTAAATTACCGTTTCTATGCACGTACACTGCATGAGGAAGCAACGCACCTTCACACGTCGCGTCGTGCCGTCGTCCGTCGCCTCGTGCCGTCGTCCGTCGCGTCGTGCCGTCGCCCGTCGCGTCGTGCCGTCGCATGTTACCTCGGCGCTTCTAAGTAGACTGCTTAAAGAGGCGACGCACACATTGCCCGTCGCGTCGTGCCGTCGCCCGTCGCGTCGTGCCGTCGCCCGTCGCGTCGTGCCGTCGCGACGTGCTGTCGCCCGTTGCGTCGTGCTGTCGCCCGTCGCGTCGTGCCGTCGCCCGTCGCGTGACTGTATCTTTCTTGGCTATAGGTGGCGCCTTCATTCTTCATGTGCTTGTGTTTAATAGGAAGGGGCGTAATCATACATGTCGCCACTACATTTTAAGTTAAATGGAATGGATCTGGCTTCCAAAGTCATTCCAAGAAAGTTGCCGCCGTGAAAACAAGGCAGGAGGATGAGATTTGCTATCAGCATCAGCAGGGCCGTTCCTCATTCTTTTTTTTTTATGGGATGTATGATAAAATTGGAGTACGAGGGGCTCTGCGAGCTGATGAATCTTTTTGAAAACATTGTATTTGCAACCAGCTAGGGAAGATTTCCGTTTATTTAAGAGTTAGAAGCACTGGTATGGATACCTGTGCAAGTATATGACTAAAATGCCTGAGCGTATTTGGTAAGGTTTTTTTTTCCTTTTTTTGGAAATTCAATACGCATATAGGGAGTAACATCAGTTCCACTGCTGGTTTGCGGTGATGGGTGGGTTACAACTTGTCAACACATACCTCGCCAGCGGGCCCATTAGATTGGTGATAGCCGGAGAGCAGGAGTTTAAAAAACTCATCCGGTGTTTAGGCGACGCAGTGACTGGTTTGTGTACATGTGGTTTTTGTTTCTAGTTCACTTAATAATTTGATTTATACCGTGATAATATGCCGTCCCATATGCCGTCTTTCTTTTTGTGTGTGTCGGGGGAAACAGTGCATATTTTCTGTGCCCTTTTTACGCACTTCATCAGTCACCCTTTGCTTAATTCTTTTATACATATTTACTTTATTGCTAATGATGGTTAAGAATATTTTACGCGTTAGCGTTTCTTGTAATGATCAGATTAAGTGGATTCCTTATTTTTAATTTTTATTTCGAAATCCATGGGCCTGCTTAAGAGCTGGGTGTTTAATTTGTGGGTGGTAGGGTAAAACAAAGACCAGCGGGATATTCTTTTTGGTTTTTGCACGCTTTTTAGAGTTCACGCGAGTGTCGCCTTTTTGGGGAAGAAGGGCTAAGTCTTCTTGGTTGTATTCGCGTTTTTAAAGTTTGTCTTTGAAGAATTCAGCCTTCTCCTCAAATTATTTTGAGTGTGTGCATATACCGTCATATCTCATTGATTCTCCCTTAATCATCAAACCGCCAAACACTGACTCAGGGTGGGCTGAATCTCGAGCAAGATACTGAAAGGTATCAGTTTTTTGGTTTGGAAGGTGACTTGACTGTTTGAAATCTCTGACGTGAACTTGAGCGTGAGATGAATTTGGTTTAGAGTTTGGACGAGGTCACCGGCTTGGTCTTCGTTACTGTTAAATATTATTAAGACGCTGGCCCTGTATATCATGTAACTCACAATTGAAGGATTGTGTGGGAGAATAATTTCTTTTTCATATCTGAACAGGGTTATATCGCATATTTCTGGACTGCATTCGCTTCCCATAGCCACGCCAATTTTCTGTCTGAAGAACTTTCCATTGAATTCAAATATGTTTCGATGTATGATAAGTTCCAGGAGATAGCGAGCGTGTTCTCTTTTAGGTTTGGGTATTGCGTACATACTGCTTTCGGCAACTTCAAGTGCATCGCAAACTGATTCAATTGCCTCATCTTGTGGGCAGTTCGTATACATGGACATAATATCCAATGTGATGGCTATCCTGCTTCAATGTCACGTTGTTTAGTTTTTCAAGCACATGCCCGGAATCGCGTGTATATGTGCTTTGTTGTTTGACAATCGGAAGCAGAAAATAGTCTATGTATTTTGAAATTGATTGAGTCCGACCTCCGCAACCACTAATAATAGGCCTCCCCACAAACCGTGTACAAACTGTACGACATAGCAATTTGCAACCTTTTCACCGCACGCACGGCACGCATGTCATAAATACAGTACAGGTAAATGAAAAATGAAGGCGCCACCTATTGCCAAGAAAGATACAGTCACGCGACGGGCGACGGCACGACGCGAAGGGCGACGGCACGACGCGACGGCACGACGCGACGGGCGACGGCACGACGCGACGGGCAATGTGTGCGTCGCCTCTTCAAGCAGTCTACTTAGAAGCGCCGAAGTAACAGGCGACGGCACGACGCGACGGGCGACGGCACGACGCGACGGACGACGGCACGACGCGACGTACGACGGCACGACGCGACGTGTGAAGGTGCGTCGCTTCCTCATGGAGTGTACGTGCTAAGAAACGGTAATTTAAGAGGCGACGGCACGACGCGACGGGCGACGGCACGACGCGACGCCACGACGCGACGGACGACGGCACGACGCGACGGACGACGGCACGACGCGACGGTACGACGCGACGGCACGACGTGAAAGCACGACGCGACGCAGATTTGGCGTCTATAGAACACTATACAAAAGGGAAGGGCAAAAAATTGTTTTCGATGGACACTACATGATTCAAACACAAGAGCTGCTCAGAGACCTACCATTATTGTTTTCTGGTATTTGGCAGTCTTCCTCGCTATGACGACCTGGATCGGTACGGTAATGAAGAAGACTAGACAGCCAATCAGGGCAGCGGATCCTAACTCAAAGTACAGAATCACCATGTAGCCGATGATCTGACAGCGAAAAAGATAAAACAAAAGGTTGACGATATATGCAACATTCTTCAATGATATTACCCAGGCATTCAGGAATTACTAAGGAATTATACAGGAAACTGCCAAATTGAGAAATATTTATAAATCTCTGTACAACAATTTGACAATATTACATCTTTTCAAATCACAACAATTTTGACTGATTCCACAAAATGAATCTTAGGGACTTTTTTTCTGTTATGACAGAACAAAAGATATTTTATCTTTCTGCAAGAAAAACAATTCTTACGGAACATACCACAAATGGTACGGACCAGACATAGTGGACCCATTGCGTCGAGTTCATAACATTGGAAGTGTCGACCGACATATGATTGGTGATCTGGCCCATGGTCATATCGCCCCCTGTCATCGTGTAACTGGAGAGACGTAGCGATTTGTCGTATATTGCCGCCTGTGTTTATGGAAAAGACAGCAAATTATGTGAGCATGGGTCACCAATGCATTGATTTTTGCTGTATCTCCGGTCGAGAAATTCAATTTACCAAACAAGTTTGCAAGTCAGAACAAGTGAGGCATGGAAACCTGTATAGGAAAGCAATCAATCTGGTGCAATCAACAAGCAATTCAGGATGAACATGTCTGAACTGTCATTGGCAGACTACATCCTGGTAATACTGCAGTGCATCTTTAGAAAAGTTGAAATTCTTTGAGAACACTGCCAAGCAGAATTCATTGTGCAGTCAACAGTTTTTACTTCTTTTAACAAATATTGATAAATACCTGAGACAATTTACCCATTCATATTGGTCAAGAGCCCCGAACGTGGGTTTGTTCATAAAACACCGCCTGACTTTTAAACACAATTCCTATGTTCTGCACGTCATCATGCAGTACGTGCCGCGCATGCGCCAATTTCCATGTAAGGAGATTATGTCCTTGACCGGTATTTAACAAGTACGTTTAGAACCGACTAGAGGCATGGTCATGGATAATGGCCCAAGCAGAATGACCAGGCCCTTAGGCGGTTTTAAAAGTACAGTAAATTTCAGCCAAGTAGGCACTCTTCGGACCTGCAAGTTTGTGACGACTCACGTGATTGCCGACATCTGCTGACTTACATGAATGGCCTACCAGAGACTACATGAGACCATCGTGACTTTTGGGACCTACTTGAGCGTTCGGTGAGTTGTACGATGTCGGCTTGGCCAGAGTTTACTGTACTTGTTTAAAACCGGCCACGCACATATTTATTCCCTTATTTCTTTGTGCCCATGCAGCAGATCCTTGCCGTTTTGAGGTGATCACAAAATCTGCTTATTTCTACTGGATAGTTTTGTTTGGCAAAAAGTTGTCACTGACTGCACACAATCAATACAGAACTGAGCTATACTCAGGGGATAATTTTGCTAAGCTGAATTTTCCTGCTGAACAGGTTAATCTTGCTGAGCAGTTTTGGAATCCACTTGTACTATGGGCTCCATGCAAAAGTACCCCTTCAACGGCCAGAAAAGGAGAGTTTGGGAAGACCTAGACTGTTTCCCGGTCCATCTGCTGCGTATTTCAAAAGAAGTTATAGGAGGCGGGGATTAGTCTGGGAGACCATCGCAAGTTAAATTTGAATGCATTCACATGCCGAAACAACGCCTGATCATGCTCAAGTGAAGACGCTGTGGCTAATAGCTTTTGGCACATTCAGGGTGTCGTGCGCACTTTTCACGCGAACCAGAACAGCACAGTACGCTGTGTGTCATATTCACAGGGCTATCAAAAGTTGTTAAAAAGCGCCCTCTTTTGTTTGCGCACGGAGCCCATACCTGAGGCACGGCCTTGATATAAGCACACTCAGTGATGGCAATGTGATAGTGGCCTTTAATCAGCAGATATATTTGCTGACCAGGATTTTGCTGCTATTACTTTTGACCCCACTTTCCCGCTTAGCATTTTTGTACTTTACCTGTAGCGATGCCTTGATGTGAGCAGACTCAGTGATGACAATGTGATAGTGGCCCTGCTGGGATAACAGCTTGATGATGTTGGACCAGAAAATGATGATGATCAACACAAAGCCGTTACTCAAGAAATCTGTCACTGAGACGTACTTTGTCTGAAATTCATACAGAGACTTCATTCAGTCTTAATTAAAGATCTTATACATAAGATGAAATCAACTTCATACCAAACTCAAAGTGGACGCATCTAGAATAGGTCACATTACATGAGCTAGACAAATCAAATTTCAGAATCGAATGGTTTAAGAATATTCCACTGAAAACTAAAGATAAACATAGACCACTGTTCACTTGTTATTCCAAAAACCATTTTCTACCCAACTCTTTTGATTTCACCTGATCGACGAGACTACCCTCCCCCTGCTGATAGTAGAGAGTGGTGACGTATCTGATGGCTCCTGCGAGAGCGAGGGGCGGTACTAAGGTGGCTGCGTCACCGGCAAACTTGACGAAGCCACCAATCATGATACGGAAGCCAAAGGCTCGGGCGTAGACACGATACAGACTGAGGGATGTCTCGTTGGCTTTGGCTCGGGCCTGGGAAAAAAATTATAGGGGAAGAAAAAGTGATCAGAGGAATGAGATTGGTCCTTGTTTACCCCATGATTTAGCTCGAGTAACAATTCTGAAGTGAAAATTGTCGGGCAGCAATATCAACGGGCAGCATCATCAACAGGCGTACCTACGGGTGGGGCTCCGCCCCTCCACAAACTTGAGAATTCCTCCATGCTAAAAGAATTTTACTCTTATTTTACTCTCACGGACCATTATTCTCTGAGCCTCTGGCGCTGTCAGCAATGCATACAAGTGTCTCTTGATCAAACTCTCCCTTTTGTAACTTCTGTGCAGAATCCATAAGCAAAAATGCAAGAAATGTTATTTACTTCACATCAATCTGGTAAGCAGCTAGAATGTGTACCTGTTCTTTCTTGAGTGCCCTAGTGAAGGCATCCCTCTGATACTGCGTGGTGTGGACCTCAGACAGACTGCCCAGGTCAGTTAGCTCCAAAGCTTGCTTGAAACCTTTCTTGAAGATCCAGTTGAGCCACCAGTAGAATGCCGAGGACAGCAGGCTGGTGTAGCCTTGTAGATAGTACATGTCCTCCTTCTTCAGGTCTTCGGGAAACTCCTCCTCCTCACAGCAACACTTGCAGATCTTGTACCAAAAGACAAGCCACAATATAGGAGAAGTACATTAAGAGAGACATGATTTTTGTTTTTTGCTAGACCTGAAAATCCAGTCTGATGTCCTCTGACTATTTTCCTGATTCTTTGTATCAAGCAGGTATTTAGCGTTGTTAACAAGAATTGAGGCAGTTTTACATTATTACATCTACTCATCATGACCATAAAACATTCCTTAGATCATCTCTGCTCCCTTAGCAGTATATGTTGATGCTTCCACTTCTGCACAAACAGCTAACAATCACCATTACCATCTCTGCCTTCACAGTGCCTATTACTTTTTTATACCTGTTTATTTGCAGAAACAACTGAATGTTGTGACTAAGACTCTTGCCAAGGGACACACACACGGCAGAGTAATAACACTTTGAAACTTGTTAGCTGCTCACCTTTGATATGATAACCCAAACTTCCAGCATCAGATAGAGGAAGTACATGACGATGGCAGCAATATTAAGATCATATCGGAAGATTGAATTATTGACATCTTCATCATGGTTCAGATTGAGGAACCGGATGATCTCCACTCCGAGTGCGGTCAGCCAGTAGAGCAGGAGGAGCCAGGACATGTGCGGTCTGCTCCACAACTCCATCTGGTTGTAGTAGATCATTGTTAACAGGGCTGCGGTTAGGGAGAGGAGGGCGGGGACATAGAGGCGGGGGATGGTGGACGTGTCTTGGTAGACGTCAATGTCTGTTAGGATGCCCTCTCCAAGCTCACATACAGTTAGAGAGAGGAGGACGAAGTTGAGAACCCAGCGGATGTTGTGGCCGGGGAACTGGACGAGGTAAGGGTGTTGCTCCTTGCGGATGCTGGTGCAGCATCTCAGAACAAAGAGCACCAGGACGCCCAGCAAGATGAAGATGAGGTGTGGTAAGGTGTAGACGAGGTCCACAAAGCAGGCATTGTACAGGGTGTGGTTCAGGTCAAAGGTGAAACTGGCAAGATTCTCTGTGGCATTGGCACTGCAGTACCAGTCAAACGGTGTTGCTTCAGTTGTATCCATGTTGTCGCTGCGGCTTACAAAGGACGCAGGTCTTGGACTAACAAGGCTGAAATATGGCAAGTGAAATTACCATGTCAGAGAGTGAAAATATGTCATACAATTACCAAGAACCATAGTCCCATCAATTAAATATCCAACAACCATTTTACAGGTTTTCAATGTCGTTTATGTGGTTTGCATTGTGACTTTGTGTGATCTCTGGCAACATGGCATAAATGAGTTTGTGGCTTCTGACTAGCGCCCTTGAACAAAATTATTGAACTGAGAGACTGACAACATATCTGCACAGCAGCTAAGTGGGTAGAGCACTGGTCCAGTGTTCCAGAGGTAACAGGTTTGAATATTTCAAGTGTTTGTTCACTTTGATAAGTTATTTAATAGGTATTTGGATTCAACTGTTTTATGATGAAAAACACCCCCCCCCCAAAAAAAAAGTACCCAGATAAAACAAATTCATAAACAATTCACATTTAAACTTTTTTGTATGTTCATTTTGCAGGTCTTCAGAATACAAAACTAATAACCCTCTGTAACAAAATTAAATAAAACTCCACATAAAGTTGACTCCAGATAATGTCTTAAACTCTTGTGGCGGAAATCCCCCGGGCCAACCTAAGTCTGTTACTAGTGTTAGTGTTAGGATAAGTCTGACTCCTAATCTCAAACAACGATAAAAAATCATTATTTATTCAACAATAATCAAGTACATTAGTTAGGATGTGATTCGGTGGGTTGTTTTATTAACAGGGTCTTTAGTAACTGGAGATAGCCCGCTGCTCGCGCGCGCCTATGCAACAGCGCACACAGCATTAAGCACCCGACAACAATGGCAGCAATGAGCAACTATGTACAGCGCGCGCGCCAGTACTAATGAATAGCTAAGTTTGCAATAACACGTACACAACGTCACAGCACACAACAGCCGCTTAGCATACAGTCTATAGCAGGGTACCCGCTACGCCGCGGCCGTACACGTACCCAGTACAGCTAGCTACACAGACTTTGTACACAAATCGCTTAAGCAATTACATACACATAAGCAGAGTACAAGTAATTCACCTACTTCTCTGTCCACTGTCGCAGCTACGCCCTAACCCCACTGATCTCTATATAAAGACTGGATAGCGGATATGCATACAACATTCACACAGTAGACTTTGCATATTGACCAATTCGCCCCGGTCTCACAAAGATGGCCGCGTATAATACGAACGTTCTACGCGTAAATACGCGCGCGTTGTATCAACAGTTGACGCGCATTTTGGTCACGTACACATATTATGATGTTCTAAAAGGGACACATTTCCGTAGTGATTATTATTTCAAAACGCCGAAAAAGTTATATTTGCGGCATTTTAGTAACCACGACGTTAGAAAAATTGTAGTTAACCTTGGTCAGTGGTGGTGGTCAAAATATAAGTCAAGTGAACCGCGACGTTACAAAAGAAATCATGCCGTCTATAAAAACGGCATCTTGTCCTTTGTAGATCACCAGCCGGTCTCACCAATATGGCGTCAAATTCGTACATTGTGCGGCTCTGTATTAGCTATCCAGTCTTTATATAGAGATCAGTGCCTAACCCGCTATCTCCAGACACCCGGCACTCAACACCTAAACAGCTGAGCCCCGAACCTAGACACACAACCAGCTAGTGTCTCACCTAACAATCAAAGCCTTCCAAACAAGCCGTTAGACCAAAGCCAAAACGAAACCCGAAAACAGAGCGCGCTCCCCATACCCGGCCCGGCTGTGGTGTATATAACAACGCTTATTGAAAACATGTACCAAGCATAAGTTAAAATATGGCTCATGAACGTTAAAGCTATATAGTCCATCATTTGTAATTTGTGCATTTTGTTCGTTTCAAGCAACAAAAGTGCTCAAAATCTAAAGAAGGGTACTGAACAACTAACCTAATGAAGTTTCAGCTCAGCTTCAGCTGTATATTCCGAGAAAAACAGCATTCTAGGATCTCAATTTCAAATCAAAAGTTGCTGAATCATGTTTTGAATTGCGCCTGAATTCAGCGTCCGAGACACGTTCTCGCTGAGCCGATTGCAGCAGGGCGATGTTGCGCAGCGCGATCCGACGAATTATAGCAGCCGCGCGCGCGTGTGCGTCGTGCCAATGAGGGCGCGCGCTTCGCCGAATACAAAACGAACTACTAATTTAAATTTTCCTACGGTGCGTCTTAGGCCAAAAAAAAAAGTCTCCGGTTTCTGGTATGAAGCTTGCCCCAAAAGTGGTGCGGCGACGCGGCTTTTTTTTTTTTTTTTACCTGTTTTCTTTGTTTGGGGGGGGGGGTTCAAATGTCGGCTGATGACTGCAAATGGTGCCCGACTAAACTTCGTGCAAATATATGGGAGTCCAGAGAGGCCACATAAAGCTTATTCTCGATCATAACCCCATCTAAAAACACGTTAAAATTGTGCAGCAGCAGGATTCCAGTCAACTTGAACCAGTGAGTTTGGCGGTTTTGAGACATCATCTTGTATAGACCGCTTGCAGACGCGATCGATAATTGACGCGCCAAGGTGCACGACGCCATGTTATGGGACAAAATGTGCATGGATAGATATACGCCTGTCCCACAACATGGCGTCGCGCGCCTTCGCGCGTCGATTATCGAACGCATCTGCAAGCGGTCTATTGAAAAAAAACACTTTTTCATTTTGCCGACGCGCATGGCTACGGCGACGCGCGCGCAGGCAGAAACCGGAGACTTTTTTTTGGCCTTAAGAAGCACCGTTGGAAAGGCCTTCTTTCGTTGATTACTTCAAAATGACAGCTTGCCAGAAAGAATAATTTCACAGGGAGTTTAGTCCCCTTACTATCTTTCAACCAAGTATGTTTTTCAACAATAATTACGCCAGCTACTTTTCGGATAGCTGCAAATGATGGACTATAGCCGTGAACACAAAAAAAATCTGGAAATATCGCCGAAAGAAAGTCACAAAATTGGAGCATTTTAACTGTTTATTTCGTTAAAAAGGTATTTATTAATGAGAATAACAGTGTGAGGAGCCGGTCTTCACTGCATGATAATGACCGGGTTTGGGGGTGACCGCTGTTAATGGACCGAGACGAAGTTGTTCCCTAAATCATGTACGCGCAGCAGCCCACGGAGCTGCTCATAAGCTCCGCCCGGTCACACTGCACACAAGTGATTAAGCATTTGGTGTTATGGTATGACGTCACAACTAAACACTTTCCGCCAAACTCTTTATTAATCAGTTACCCAGCGAAGTGGTGACTTGCATATCACAGAAATGGAAGTTTCTGATGTAATGTAATTCCTTCATGGCCTTTTTATAAGAAATAGTCCCCCAAAAATTCAAATTGGGAAAGACTATGATGTAACAGATGACGAAATATATGATCTGCACGCACACAAGTTGCACCATGTAAAATATAAGACAACAGTGTGTCAACCAGAAGTGGGTACAGCTCTAAAGCTGCAGAACAACTGGTCACCCTAGTTGAAGAACATGGGCTTACGCAACGTGTCAAGCAACCCACAAGAAAACAGGGAATCACCGAGAACATCTTAGACTTGGTTTTCACCAACAATCCTGACATGGTGGACAAGATCACGGTTGTTGAGGGTATTTCTGACCACAGCCTCGGTGACACTGGATTTAAGGATTGCCCCGAGTAGAAAACGACAAGTGAAGCGAAAAATCTTCTTGCGCAACAAAGCTGACACTGATGGTGTCACACAAGCCTTGGAGGATTTTACAGACGAATACTTCAAGACCAGCAAAGGGAAGACTCACAGAAAAATGGAACTGCATCAACGGACAGCAATTGTCCAAACCATGGAAAAATGTGTTCCTCACAAGATGACATCTAGCCGCGCGCTTCAACTTGCCCTGGTTTGATAGGACACTGAGACGGGCTGTTAAAAAGAAGCAACGTCTATACAATAAGGCCATCAAATCAGGAAAGGCTTCTGATTGGGAAGTTTTCCGTGAATGCAGGAGAAATACACACAAACTCATAAAAAAAACCTCGCTCTACACTAAAGTACATCAGAGAAACCTTGGGATCTGCCATCAAGGAGGAGCCTAAAAAATTCTGGACATTTATCAAAAAGTTAAGGCAAGAAAACCCAGGAGTTGCAGACCTTGTGAAAGATGGAAAGATTATCAGCGATGATACAGAGAAGGCGAACATCTTGAAATGAACAGTTTCAGAGTGTGTTTACCAAGGAGCCTCTTGGGGAATTGCCCCAACTTGGTGCTAGCCCGTACGAACAGATTGGTCAGCTCATCATCACCAAAGAGGGAGTTGAAAAGCTCCTCAGCCAGCTTAAGCCTAACAAAGCACCAGGTCCAGATGGAATTCCACCTTGGTTCCTGAAACTTGGCGCTAAGCAGCTAGCCTCACCACTACAGGACCTGTTCCAAAGTTCAATCAACACAGGTGAAGTATCACAATTAAGATTGGAAGGAAGCAAATATTGCATCAATATTAAAAAAAGGGAGCCGTACTTGTGCAGCAAATTACCGTCCTGTTTCACTCACTTCAGTGGTTTGCAAGGCTTTGGAGCACATTGTACACAGCCATGTGATGAAACAATTTTGTAGAACCAGCATATTTTAACCGTTTTTCAACATGGATTCCGGGTTAAAAAGTCAACAGAAACGCAACTCATCCTTACAATTCATGACATTAGCATATGGAACTCAACAAGAACATCTTGGTATACGTCGTGAATCTATGAATATTAAATAATTGATTATTATCAAAATTAAGTTTCGTTCGATCAATATGACTACGGTAACCGTTCATTTTACGTCAATTGGTAAATTTTGTAGAAGTTAAAAAGAATCCAAAAAAATTCGCCCAAAATAATTTGGCCTCAGAAAAATGTTTTTTTTAATGCTTGACATCGACATGAGCTGATTTTTTTGTTCAATTAATTAGTTTGGATTTTCGAATTAAGAGCGGGATGCTAAGATCCTTATTCGTTTTAATAGCTATAGTGTGCGCAATTTCAGAACTGGAGCGCGCAATTTAAAACCAACTTTTCAAACTGTGTAAAGGCCTGCAAACTAGCTGGATATTTTTGTTCCTACTTTCCCGATATCTTTGGCGCCTATTTTACCCAGTAGCGCACCCAGGATTTACCTTGGGGGGGGGGGGGTGCTAAATTTTGGGGGTTTTGTTCATACAAAGTGGGTGTTTTTTTTTGTGGGAGGGGGAATATTTTGACGTTGGTGGCGCCACTTACACCCCTATTATAATACGCGAAAATGTGCCACATACATATCGGTCAATTCGTGGACCAAATAAATGAAACCCCCCCCCCCCTCCAAAAAATATATTAAAAATTAACAACCTCTACGAGTGGGAGGGGTCAACCCCCCCCCCCCCCTTGGGTGCGCCACTAATTTCATCCACCTCTGGCCAGTGGCACAGCAGTAGAGGGGTGTTTGCAGAGTGGCAAATTGCAAACTGCTAGCTACAGATTTTAAGAGCGAGCCAGGCGTGGACGTGCGAAGAAAAATCGGGCCGGCTACATTGGCCAGTCGTAAAAAGCTTGTCTCGTCAGTCGGCAGGGATGAAGAGCGCCACCTACTGCCAAAGAGTGTCTATGAGTACGAGTGTCCGCTTTCAACAGTGCCCCTATAGGTGCAATGAATTGCCATAGACTCCAATGATCAATTTCCCCACTTTAGAAATTCAAGAAAATAATCACAATTTGCTCACTATAAGGTGTTCGAGACATGCATTAAAACTAAAGCTTAGTTTGATCGTCTTTCTATTTTTCCTCCATTTTTTTGGTGGTAATCTGATTGTAAGTTGGGAGAAATTTCCACCCGAATATGATCACCCATCGCCATTTTGAAAAACGGCGCCTACACTCCAGTGCAAAATAGAGCGCTTTTAGAGCCCCAATTTCATGCGAATTGCACAGAAATACAAGCTCACGTTCCTGTGCACGGCTTCCATCCTCACTGTTTACGAACCCTCAAGTGCATGGCCCACAATATGCTCAAGTACTGAAGAATTTCAGGGCATGCAAATCGTGATTTGGCCGGCGTATGCTACTTCGGACCCATTTTACTGCCTCAACCCTTTACTGCTAGAATTTTGTCTTTTAACCCTTGCATTTTTTCCAATTTTGGCCAAAAAATCAAATTGCTTCAAACTTGCTGGAAAGATGCCTA